AGAAATGATCTTCATTATTATTAAAAAATTAATATGGCTACCTGGACCTTTTTACTCCCCCACACCACTGGGGAAGTGGGTGTAGGACAATTGACTCTTCGTTTTGGATAAAAAAGACACATTCATGAGGTCTTTTTTGTACATGTTGCTGTAAAAAAAAAAACCCCACAAAAAAACCTCTCAAGATGTCAGGGAGCTGCGTAACTAGGAAGGTGATGGATTGGGATTCACAGGGTAAAAGATCAAGAGGAAGACAACGTGGAACATGGAGAAGAGTCACAGAGATTGATCTACAGAAAAGTGGGAAGACTTGGAATAACATCAAGAGGGCTAGCCCAGGGTAGAGAAAGGTGGAAACAGTTTGTTCGTGGCCTATACCCTGATGCAAGGTGAGAAGGGCAATGCTGTTGATTAGGACAAAATGAGCAAACTACACCAGAGCATCCACTACCCACCCACACTGAAAGGGTTTTGTTTTAGTAAAAGTTTTACAGCACTTGCAACACAATAAGGTCATATAAGTGCCGCAGAATACAGGTGTTACAAGAGAGTAAAAAACACAAAAAAGAAGGAAGAGAGATAAGGATGACAGATGTTGGATAGGAAAGAAGGAGCAGACCACACCAGAGCACCACCAACCACCCACACTGAAGGGGTAAAAGAGAACTCAGTTGCTGAAAGTCACACAGAAAGCAAGCCTGTTACGGTTAAGAAACTGCAAGGTCAAAGTCAAAGTTCAAAACTCCCTTGCGATAAAAAAAGGTCAGTACAGACACAAATTAAAGGCAGAGAGCTGCTGTCATTTTTAAGAATAAGGTATATTGCAGTTTTTACAATATTACAGGAGATCCACAAAACTGATTATTACAAAGAAAACAAACTTTTTACAATCATCCCAAGTCAATATTTTTAAGAATACAATTTTGACAATAATTCCTTATTATCTTTAAAGTAAATGTTGTTTTAGTGGTAACAACATTCAGTTGTTTTTTTTTGTGTCTCCAGTAAAATTGTATAAACTGCAAATGCTTTATTTAAAAAAATGACGGAAATGCAGGCTATCCATTCCTTCCTTCCTTCCTCCAAAAGAAATAAACACAACATGAAAAAATTATAAAATCAAGCATAGCAATTTATTCAATGACATACAAACACTGACTGATAAGAAAAAAAAGTGACCATGAAAACTGTTTCTGCTCAGAACTAAGTTTAAAATAATATTACACAAACAATGTCCAAATCCACAGATCAGTGACAGAACCAATATCAAGTGAGTGCACACATGAACAATACAACGGGATTCACATTACATTCATGCATCATGAACACAGAAGGAAGAAATAGAGAGAAAGAGAGCGAGCGAGCGAGAGAGAGAAAGACAGCAAGAGAGAGAGAGAGAGGGGGGGGGGGGGGTAGAGAAAGGTGACGTGGGGGATGGGGGGGGGGAGAGAAAGTGAATTAAAAAAAAAAAAAAAAAAAGGGGGGGGGGGGGAGTGGAGAAGAAAAGTGAGAGATGGTCAGAGCTGAAAGAGAGAGAGAGAGAGGAGAAAGGGAATAGAAAAGGAAAACGAAAGTGACGAGAGAAAAAGAGGGGAGACCCCTTACCACCATTTCCCACACCACTAAAACAAAATACAATGTCATTTATTTACAAAATGTACATTTTATACACGAGTACAGAATATATGCAGCTACGATCTGTGCTAAATGCTTACTGGATACACCGAATTATTCTGTACGAGATGATCAGGCCAACAGACATTTATAAGTGACATGAGGGCTACAGACAATTGTGCTTGTCCGATCCCAGGAGAGAGTTGAGATTGTCACATATCGTTTCTGTTGCAAACAATCCACAGAAGTCTGAAAGCTCTACAAAACAATGATGCACCTTTCAACAACACGAAAATGCAGTTTGATGCTATGGTTAAGGCTTAAAATTTTCTCGCTTTTAATGATTCCAGAAAGGAACTACTCAACAAAAACTAGGCTTTTGTCTCTGGCGTAAAAAGTGCACAAACAGACTTAAGTGCACTGCTTGCGATATCAATCATGATATGTACCTCTCAATTCATCTATTGCCCAAGCAGATCCTGATAACATAGAACATGGCAGTGCTGCAGTCATCATCATCTTCCACAGAAAACTGTCTCATATACCTCTCAATTGGTCGCTTTTAAGGACAAGCGGGCTAACCCAGATTTCGGGGGTTTCCAGAAATCTTGACCTACACCACAAGTGAGCATTGCCCTACCTACAGGACAAGTTTGGGTTCATTGGTGTGTATATTTGTTTGGTTATAGAGAAAACTCTCCTTGTTTTTTAAAGAAACTGAACAAGGGGCAAAAACTTTACCTTCGATTTTCTCAAAACAGCATTTATTTTTCGGGATAGCACCCTTCTGCTTAAAAGCGACCAATTCATCTATTGCCCAAACAGACCCCAAGAAAATAGAACATTGCATTACCTCAGTCATAATCTCTTTCAACAGAACACTGTCGCTCTCAATCATTCACAGTTAGTTTCTTAACACTTTGCCATCACATCTCGCCGATCGGCAAGAACGCCAAACTTTCGCTCCTGTCACAAAACGTCAATTGGTTATGTTTAAAATCCAGTTTCTGTGGATTCCCCCAAAAATGCCTGTGATGGCAAGGGTTTTTACTATATGAGCCTTGAGATGGCAAAGTGTTAACATTTATTCAAGTTCCTTGAACACAATGGAGAAAAAGCTGAAAAGACAAGAGGAACCAGCCAGAAGGAGACCTCTAGAAATAACCTATCTGGATTCATCATCATCATCATCTGAAAGGCAATAAACTAAAAAAAAAAGTAATTAAACTGAGATTTAAGATTTAAAAAATTTTCAGAGAAACTACCAACAATGTTCTTCTCGAGAATCTCGGAGGGTAAGAATGAGCCTACCCACATACAGAAAGAATAAGTGTATTCTCTGATTAGAGAAAAGGTCCACAAATGGTCCAAACATGAAACAGGAAAATAATAATGCAATACAAAGGGAGGTCCAATGTAAAAAAGTCGCACATGCAGAGACCTCTAAATCTAAATATAAGTAATCATTGAGACCCTGCATAGCGAGGGCCCAACAAGAACATAATTCTTCGAAAGAACTCAGATTGCAACAAGGGAGGAGAAGGTAAGAAATCAAAATAGCTAAGTATTTAATGAGGAAGATGATTATGATAAAAATGATAAGCATTAGACAGAAGTTAAGAGATGCAGATACTATTTGGATGTGTATTGAGAGCGGAACTGAGGAATTACCCACACTCGTAGAGTGTCCTGTTGCCTCATACCACACAAACAAAAATCTCATTTGACTTTGTTCAAGTTCAGCACCCTACTAGACACGAGATAAGCTACTTCAAAGCACAGCACTTGGTCCCGTGCACCATGTTGGGTTGCGAGCAAATAACCCATGCATAAATAACAGACAGACAAACAAACACAAGTTCGAAGAGTCCCCTTAGACTTGACCCTCAAATTTGTGCAAACTTTCCCATTCGTAACCAACTGCACCGCAATAGTCTGCTTTCATATCCTATCTCTATTTTTAATAACAGTGAAAACAGTTCATAATAAAGAGTGAGCTTAAGAAGAAGTCACATTTTCAATGTTAAAAAAAAAAATGGAGATAGGACAAGAAAGCACTGAGGTTGCATGGTGCCTCTCCATAGGACAAAAAAACAACGTCGTGCAAAGTGAACAAAGAGATCAGTGCCGCGCACCAACCGGGGTCGACATCCTCAGGACAGGTACAGCCTGTGGAAGTCGTTTGCCCCAAAGCCGGCGTTGCACTTCGGACACTTGCGCTGCCTCGTCTCGTAGCGGGTCCGCAGGCACTCCAGGCAGAAGACGTGGAAACACTTGGTCAGCACCGCGTCTTTCTTGTTGACTTTACACGACGGGCACGTCAGCTGCTCCTGTGGGCGGGGAGGGACAAATAGCTCATTATTCCCAGGTCTCACACATGCAAATGTTTAGTTTAAATTAGTTTACTTTAGTAAGAGTTTTTACGGCACTTGCAAAACAATAAGATCATGTACTTGCTGAGGATTAGAGCTGTAAAAGGAGAGTAACAAACACAAAAAAGAAGGAGGAGAGATCAGGATGATAGATGTTTGATAACAAAGAAGGAGCAAACCAAACCAGAGCACCCGCCAACCACCCACTTAGTTTAGTTTGGTGAAGTTTAGTTTAGTAAGAGTTTTACAGCACTTACAACTCAATAATCTCATACAAGTGCTGAAGATTAGAGCTGTAAAAAGAGAGTAACACAAACACCAAAAAAAGGAGGAGAGATCAGGATGATAGATGCAGATATTTGAAAGGGAAGAAGGAGTAAACCATACGAGAGCACCCATTAACCACCCACAGTAAATGTTTTATTAGCAAACTTAATAATAGCTGTATATTTGAGTTGATGGGGACATCAGACAGGAACACCTTCCCCAAACAAAGTTAACAGCATATCAACAGGGGAACTGCAACATTTTATGACAAACAGATCATGACAATATAATACTGAAAAGAAAAATAAGTGAACAGCATCAAAACCACCCACCCATTTAAAATGATTGATATTGAATGTGCAGTCCCTACTATTCTTTTCTTTTGTGTGTGTGTGTGTGTGTGTGTGTGTGTGTGTGTGTGTGTGTGTGTGTGTGTGTTGGGGGGGGGGGGGGGGATAAGTGTCATACAAACCAAATTCAGAGACATCAAAAAGACTACAAGGAGATTACTACTCAAGCTGAGATGGGGGGGGGGGGGGGGGGAACAGTCATTCAGTGTCCAGGCAGGGGGAAATGCAAAAGAAAGGACAGAATAGTGAGTGGGAGAAAAAAGGCAAGTCAACCCCAACAAATTTGATTGAAAAGTGAAAGCCAACAGCGATTGTGAGTGAATGTTACCAACGATTGTAAAGTATTATTGAGGAGGGTAACCAAAAATTCTGAAACAAAAATTTTGAGGTACAGGGCTGTCACTTCCAACCACCAATCAGACATCACAAGAAAGCAGACATGCAAGTTCTCAAGCCTTACCTTGTACTCTTTAATTTCTTCCAGTAGGACTTCATCTGCAGCCCCAGCCATTTCAATCTTTTTACTTCTCTCCAGCTTTCTGTTCAGTTTTGCAACTTCTTCCTGAAAGTCAACCATAAAGCTAAAATAAAAAATGTGAACCTTCATAACCTGGCAGATGTTAACTCACTGACTGCTGATACCGACACTGTGTCAGTATGCCTAGACATATAAGAAATACCCAGCCAGCAACCCTGTCGGCTTCTATTCCTCGGTTTCCGTTTCTTCAGATTTTTAAATATTATTTACCCACCCATGATCAGTCTCCGCAGTTGTGGAAAAGATAGCCATGCTATTTAAAGTCTGTTTAATTCGGCAGTTGTGTCTCTCGATCCATTAGAGTAACTTTTCCTGTTTTGCTTTTTTGTAAGTGTTGGGTTACAATAGGTATCTTTTAGCTCTGGTTCAGCGTTTCGTGATTTTTTGGATGAACTTGTACATCGTCCAGCCTCTAAAGGAAAAAAACCCAAAAAAACCAAATCAAAGCTTACTTCTTCATAAGTTCCTACTGCCAGCATAAAGCAGAAACAGTACAGGGGAAATTTGCTTGCGAGTTATTGCAACCCAAACCACCTGTGATAAATTTAAACTCTTCTGTGTAACTGTCATAAAAGGAAAATGTAAACTTCAAAAGAAGTGACATTAACAATAAATAACAGCGCGCACTGACATGCGTGACCACAAAGCGCATGCACTGAAACATGTCACACCACACAGCACACCCTAACACTTGTAACCACACAGTGCGCACCGACACACGTGACCACCACACAGCGCCGACTGACACACGTGACCACCACACAGCGCGGACTGACACATGCTACCACCACACAGCACGGACTGACAAACTTCACACCACACAACGTGCACTGACACACGTGACCACACAACGCACACCGACACACGTTACACCACACAGGGCCCCATAGACGTGACCCCCACACATCGTGCGCCAACACACGTGACCGCACACCACACAGTGTGCGCCATCAACACATCACACTACACAGCGCGTGCCGACACACATCACCACCACACAGCGCACGCCGCCTGGCTGACCTGAATTTAAGTCCAGCATGTGGTTGAATGATGCATCTGATGTGAGTGTACATTTTGTCAGCTTTACTTCCCTTTTCATATTGAATTTTAATGAGAGTAATATATAATTAAAATTTTTCATGTATACCTGCATGTGTTTTAACGGTCCTGTACAGCCAAGGAAAATTTCCATCTGGGATAATAAAGTATTATCTTATCTTACCTGCATCCTCTTGTACTTGAACACCTCCTGCTCCAGCGAGGCCGTCTTCTCAGCCACAGCCACCTGGGCCTCCTTCAGCTGAGCCTGGTACTTGTCCAGGTGGAGCTTCAGGTCGGCCGCCGTCTGGGAGCTCTCCACCGCCTTACGCTTGTGCATCTCCATGGCCTGCTGGGTCAGCCTGGTGAAAAGTGACACATTTGGTGAAATCAGGCGCTCGTCAAAATATAAAGAAATATATGAAATGGAAGAAACAGGCATTTTGCTGTGGGTTTGACAATTTTTATAAAATGTTAGTTTTTTAAGCTCAATACCTTTTACGTCAATTCAAAAACATTTCTCTGTCGACTTTACTGAAAAAACGTTAACTGAAAAGGTACAAAAAATGTAAATGTTCAATTTCTAAGGACTCTAAAGCTATGGAAGTCACCAAGCTTTAGCGGCCATTTTCTTACAAATTTCACATCTGACGACAGGCGACCTCCACCTCCTTGAATCGCAAATATCTCAACTTCTAGTCAAGATAAATGGGTTTTTCATCAAAAGCACAGGAAATGAACAGGTTTTAAGATTATACCAAAAACTGTACATGTGAGGCAGCGTGGTGGAATCAGGCTCTCATCAAAATAATAAAGTGAAGAAACTTGCCTTTTTCTGCAGGTTTGGGAATTTTTATCAAATTTTTGTTTTTTGGCTCAACACCTTTCAAGGCCATTAGAGAACTTATTTCTATGTGGATTTTTCTGAAAAGCGTTGATTAAAGGCACAAAAATATAAATTTTCAGTTACCACGGACTCTTAAGCTAAGGAAATAACTAATCTTTGTGGGCCATTTTCTCACTAATTTTACCTCTGAAAACAGGTGACCCCCACCTCCTTCTTTCACAAATATCTCTACTTGTATTCAAGATAAACGAATATTTTTTCCATCCAAATAAAGACAAGTGAATGAGCTTTAAGATGATACCAATAACGCTACATGCCCAAAAATTGACAAGAGCCTGATTCCACCATGCTGCCTCACATATGCCTAAAAATTGATGAGCGCCTGATTCCGCCACATCATGACACAAATGGTTAATCCTATCAACACTATTAAGTTATCTAAGAAGATCTAAGATCCTCCGAGTTTAACACTATTACGTTATATAAGAGGCGGGACCTCTGAATTTAACGTCCATCTCCGAAAGGACAGAGCCAAAATGGAAAATTTGCATTAAGTGCCTTTCCCAAAGACACAACGTAGGACCGAGCTGAGGCTTGAATTGCCAAACATGCAACTAGCCTTGTACTTGTATTTTGATTGGTGGTACTATATCTATCTTTTGGTAAAACCAAAACGCGCTGGCAGTCACAAAAGAAAATTGCTCGACAAGTTTTACCATTACTAGATGAAAAACAGTCTACGTGAACAGGTTTTTTTTACCCATTATTCACAAAAGTAGGTGTACCTGGCAGAAAAATGAAAAAAAATGTGCCATTTTGCTAGCACAGTTACGATATAATACATCTTGTTAAAACAAAGCATACCATAACTGAGTACCAAACCTCTTTTTCCAGAAAAGTTCTTGTGTCAAGTAGATAAAGACATGGCCGTAAGACTTTTCATCAGATTCACATGGAGGTTCAGGAAATGGGGTAGTACAGCTGGCTTGATTTTGTTTTTTAAAACAAAGCAAAACAAACAAAACAAACCAAAACAAAAGTTAACTAAAATGCACGAACCCTTGTTCCTTCTCAACAATAGCCAAATTGTTCTGCAGAATTCTCTCTTTCTCCTCCAGGCTGCGCACCACTGTGTTCTGGGCATCCACTTGTGACTGCAGGGTGGCCACATTCTGTGAGAGTACGTCTTTCTCTTCCCGCAATAGTTTCTGGATTTGGTTTGATTTGATCCTCTGTCGATGAAAAATTCAAAGTAAAGACGGCATAAAGTTTTTTAAAAGCCCAGGCCAAGACAAGCAAGTAGTCCAAGGAGTAATCAAAGTGACAAGTAGGCCTACAGTATAAAAAAGACCCTAAACAGAAAAGTCTTATTTTAGAAAAACAATATTGGCTGCCATATGCTTCAAAAGCACAAAAAAACTTCACATTCACTGACATCTGACATACAACTTACAGAAAGGAAAGGGAATTCGCTTCTTTTTTTTTGGGGGGGGGGGTTGGGCAGGTAATTAGTAGAGTTTAAAGTGTAATATCTGTTAATCTAAAGGCCAAGATCTATTAATGTCTTGAGAGTAATCTGTTGATCAAAAGGGGAAGGTATATCTGTCTAGAGAGTGTCTAGTTAGTGTTGTCCTGTTAGAGTGTAGTAATGTCTAGAACCGTTTAGAACGTAGTTAGAATTTCTAGTTAAAGTGTATACCGTGTAAAGTCTAGGAAGACTTAAATGACTTGTCCGGTTAAAGTGTAATGTTGATTTAACAGGGTAAAATCTAGTCCACCCAGAGAGTAATGTCTCTTTGTTCTTATGTTTTGGTAAGTGATTTACGGCGCTCGCAACAGCATAAAGTCATATGAGCGGGTGGGACACATTAAACATTTTCAGTTGGTAGGAAATTTTGAATTTTCCTCGGGTGGCGGCCGAAGCCTACTCTTATCGATTTTAGACCACCAAGGGATTTTTAACATATGCAACTTGCACACGCGACCTCTGAGACTTTTGCCTTTGTCTGAGAAGGCTAGGTGTAGATCTTTCCTACCAGAAGATCAGGGGTGTGGCTGAAAGACAGCATACAGAAGGAGCTAATAAGAACGTTAAGTCATAGAGCAACATCTAGTACAGACTACAAGGTTCACCTCCGACATGAGTTTGAAGTTGGCGTCGTCCTTCTCCCTGAGCTGTTGCAGCAGACGCGTGTTCTGTTCCTGCATGTCCTCGAAAGCCTGGCCCGTGACGTCAAGGTCGTTGAGCAGAGCCTCCTCCCTCTGGTCACACAACAGTTTTTGTAATTACTAACTGTTTTACGGCACTTGTTTTAGTTCTTAGTTTTAGCAGAGGTTTTACGACGCTCGCTATTGCATAAGGTCACATAAGATCTGAAGATTAGAGGTGTTACAAGAGAGTAACAAACACAAAAAAGGAGGAGAGACTAAAAGGATGATAGATGTCTGATACGAAAGAAGGAGCAAACCACACCAGAGTACCCGCCAACCACCCACACGTCACTTGCATCACAGTAAGGTCACATAAGTGCTGAAGATTAGAGGTGTTACAGGAGAGTAACTCACACAAAAAAGGAGGACAGATTATAAGGATGATAGAAGTTTGATAGTAAAGAAGGAGTAAACTACACCAGAGCACCTACCAACCACTCACCCCACACCAGGGGTGAAAGTGGGCAGCCTTCACTTGGCCTGAAAGTATTGACTTGGGCAGTCAGCAAGGTTTTCTGACCCATAAGACAGAGACTTCATATTGACTTATATTATAAAGGAGCTGCTATGCAATGTGAAAAAAACATTTGAACTTAAGTTTACACATTTAAGTAGCATTAAGTAACAAACAATTCGAGATCTCAACGTCACAGTGGTAGGCCTTGACATAGGCCGGTTGGCACCCGTGGCCAGCAGTCCAGGCACCCGCGAGAGCACGTGGCCAGCATTGCTGTCTGTAGCCGGCAAACTTTCACCCCTGACCCACACACAACAGCAGAGACACCAACAGCTGCCTAAATTATTCACAGTTCTCAAAAATCATGGTTTCTTTTGCACCAAAGGCTTACTTGATCCTAATTAACCAGATTTTTCCTAATCAGCCTAACACATGTCCTTTTGTATCACAGACAGACTTATTTCTGATATGCCAAATTTTTCTTTATAATCAAACCTGCTGGCTTTTGAAGGGTAAAGTTCTTCCCTACACTAGAATCACATGTTCTTGATTGAACACATTTTTCCGGGTACCATTAACCCACCTGCTTTTGATTAGCCAAGTTCTTTTGCAACTCATTGATGGTGTCTTCCATCTTCTTGATCTTCCTCATGGCGTCGTCATCAGCCAGTTTCCTCCGCTCTCTTCTTTCGTTCTCTTGCATTCTCTTCATGAGTCCCTTCAGCTCCTCAACTTCCTGCCGCGCTTTCTTCTCCGCACTCATAAGCTGGAAATTTTGAAGCGACAGGTATTTATGTGAGAACATAATCTTCATGCATCGTAGATGACTCGTCAATCAATTCTTCTTCCACCATTTCAAAAGAGCCCTTGCCCACTGAGCTTACAGGCCCTTTTGCACCTCAGCTCTCTCGGCATAACTTAAATTCCCACCATCCCACAATGAGGCATATGTTGGGTGTGGGGAAGGGGTAATGGTGGTACACTTGCGCATGCACTCTCATTTTAAGGACTAAAATGGTGCCACAAAGCATACTGAACATTTATAGATTTAACAATCAAAATCATATACCAGTTTCTGATCTTCAAATAAATATGATTATAGTAAGCAAAAACAAAGGGCACCTTAATAACTGAAAATCATAATAAATATAAGACTTTTCCCCTAAAATATAATTGTACAATAGTACTCTGTTCATGAAGTTCTCGGTTTTTGTTTGAGTAAGCATTTTACAGAACTTGCAACACAACAAGGTCATGTATGTACCAAAGATTAGAGGTATTACAAGAGAGTAACAAACACAAAAAAGAAGGAGCAGAGATGAGGATGACAGATGTTTGATTAGAAAGGAGCAAACACACCAGAGCACCCGCCAACCACCCACTTACAAAGTCCCTTTTCAGATGAACTTGACTGTCAAATCAATAAATACGACTAACTGCGAGTGAAACAGAAAGCACAGTTGTCCAACCTGAATGCGATCTCGCTGTTCTTTAGGAGCAGCTTTGTAAGTGTCCAGAAGGAGTTTCAGTTCTCGAACATTGTCTTGAGATTTCCTGTCAATACATCAGAATCGAGTTTTTAGTTTTACGTACAAGTTTTACAGCACTTGCAACACAAATAGGTCATATAAATCTTGAAGATTAAAGAAAATGAAAACAAAGAAAAGCACACATTTCTTTTTGATAAAAATTAACCTCCTATCTAGAGGAAGGAACACACAAAAAAGAAGGTGGACAATGAAGAAGAGGAAGTACAAGAAAGAGGAGATCAGCTCAAGTGAGTCACTATACCCAGTGTCAAAATTAGGCCTTGTCGGCCTTATCTTATATTCAGGACATTACGAAGGCTAATCCATACCAAATTTAGGTTGTTCTATCTTAGAAAAAAATTACTTGAGGATTGTTTGTGTGTTCTGTGATCATTTTCTATTCTGTAGACCCTTGCTGATCAGAGAGAAAAATGTTCTTATTGAGGAAATGAATAATCTTTCAATGCATACGGCAAAGTCAGTTTTGTCACACATTTTTTAAATCAATGCAATCCTAATGTCAGTCACAAGGCAGTAAAGGTCGTCAACAACGGGTAAGAATTTTTTTTTCTCGCAGTAACACTCCTCTGCTTACTTAAGTTGATTGCGCAGGTCTTTGATGAGCTCCTGGTCGTTCTTCCCGTTGCGGCTGTCTTTACACTCGCCCTCCTCCTCCTCCTCTTTCTTCACGGGCGTGGTGGGGATCTCCCCTTCCTCCTTCTTCACCACGGGGGTGCTGGGGCAGGTGGTGGCCACCCCGCCCTGGGCCGGTTCCGTCTTCACCGGGGACGACTGCGGTTCTTCCTTCACCTGAACCACGCCCTCCTTCGAGTCGCCACCGGCCGGCGGGGAGGCTGAGGACGCCGTCGTGGACGTTGAGGAGGAGGAAGCTGTTGTGGCCGTGGTTGTCGTGGCGGCCGAACCGGAGTTTGGGGCCGACGAGGAGGGTGGGTTGTTGGCGGTCAACTCCTGCTTCAGCTGTCGAAGAAGAGAAAAGCGGGACTGATTGCAGGAAGTGAAGAAACAGTTCAAGCCTCCGTATAAAAACAAAATGTCCCTGTCATAGTGTGACTGTGCAAGAACCAACACATAAATTTTACAGGAGAGACATAAAACCAGTTTAATATATTCAATGCTCTTCTTACTGTGTAATTTTTGAGTCAGGGCAAAGCTTTAGAATAATTGTACAAAAGTTCACCTGTGCAAGAGACATTTTTTTGCTTTTTTAAGCCAATAAAAACTGTTGGAGAAATTTGGTGCTTATATGGTTAGGCTACGACAGGGATATATTGCAATTTTTTTAAAAATAATTTATTTAACCCGATAGATATATATATGCCTGCATCTTGCTCTTGAAAATAATTTGAAAAATAAAAAAAACAGAACATTTATTTTCACTTATGTAGAAATACAAGGGTGATCAACCGATCTAAGGATAGCAACTTTAAAATATCAAAATTTCTTTTGAAATTAAAATAAACCCTTTTAACACTTTGGTAGACAATTTAAACTCAAGATGATCATGCAGGATTCTTTAACTTGGCTGGATCAATGCCCTTCTCGCTGTGCGCCGACACACTAGCAGGAAGACAAAACCCACTAGCAGGGCCGAAGAACACACATGACCATCTCTGCTTTAGTAAGCACTTGCAACACAATCAGGTCATATAAATGCCGAAGATTAGAGGTATCACAAGAGAGTAACAAACACAAAAAAGATGGAGAGCAGATAAACCAGATAAAGAAGATTGATGTTTGATAGGAAAGAAGAAGCAAACCACACCAGAGCACCCGCCAACCACCATATCGGCTTTGATGTACCTTGATGCTTATAACATCTACACTGGGCGCCTTCTCCCTCACCACTACTATCACCCCCACCCCCCACCCCCCCTATTTTTCTCGCGCATTTGACCTGGCCTTTGATAGGACTTATATGTGTTTATTTGTTTGTGTTTGTCCGAGAAAAGAGTAGTGTCGTGGCAAAAGTAAAACATGTTTGTTTATTTGAGTAAACAGAAGCACATCGACACAATAATGGTCACTTAGTGCCATGGAAAAAAGTAAGACAGAAAGACAGATACGACGGAGGGAAAGAAAAGAAGTAGGACTTATCAGTGGCACCCTCCAACCACCCACACTTAAAAGTGTGCAGACAAGACAAAACCAGTAATATGAACAAGACGAAGAACAGAACCCTAGGTGCAGTAGGAACAAGACAAAGAACAAATTGTTAAATTTTCGAAAGAGTTCTACAGCACTTGCAACACTGTGACACAATAAGGTCATATATAAGTGCTGAAGATTAAAGGTGTTACAAGAGAATACCAAACACAAAAAGGGGGAGGAAGAGAGAGAAGGATGCTAGTCTTTGATAGGAAAGAAGGAGCAAACCCCACCAGAGCATCTGCCAACCACCCACACGAAGAACAAAACTCTGGGTGTTGTAGAGACAAGACGAAGAACAAAATTCTGGGTGTAGTAGAGACAAGACGAAGAACCAAAC